GTGGACATGGTCCTCCCTTTCATCTGTGTACACGGTCCTCCCTTTCATCTGTGTACACGGTCCTCCCTTTCATCTGTGGACATGGTCCTCCCTTTTATCTGCGAACATGATCCTCCCTTTCATCTGTGGACACGATCCTCCACTAAAGTCCACTTTGAGGGGAGGGCTGCCCACCAGCCTCCTTCACATGGTAGCTGACTGTGTTGTGGTCCTAATGGGCTACCATCGCGGAAGGGCAGCAGATGTGCTTACAATAGATGTGTCCTACGTGTGATTCTTATTTACCTGTGTGCCGGTGACTTTCCTGTTGAGGCAAACAGAGCAGAGGATGAATACCTCCAGGGTGTCAAAGGATAACAAACGCAGAATTTTAGCTTTTGCTAATAAACATTTTTGTGTTGAGTATAAGACAGGAAAAAATTAAACCATAAGCAAAAAGATAGAAACATTTTCTGCGTTCTTCCTTACCCTCACTACGACAGAAAGATCCCAGGAACTGAGGCAAGGGGGGAGATGCAGGAAGCTCGGGAAGCTGGTGTTTTGGGGCCTCCTGCCCTGACTCTCAGGGTTGAACTCTCTGATGACAGTTCCCCTGGCTTTTGCAGAGCCCTTCTGGGACCCATCTGCATCCCAGAGAAAGAGAGGTGGCACTGAGGGGGAAGGGCACTTCGTCCGCACAGGGCCAGTCTGAGATCCTTTGGAGGCCTGGAGGATGCAGCGTGGCTCACCTTCCTCTGCTTCCTTAAGAACGGTCCTGGGAATTAGGAAAGTGTAGGGGAAGCGGGGAGCAGGGAGAGGAGAGAGAGAGGAAGAGGAAGGGGGGAGAAGAGGGGGAGGAACACTGGTCAGCAAGTCCATTAGAGAGAGTAAGGGGAAGGAGATGGAAAACTAAGAAGAGAAATAGATGTATTACTTCTCCCTAGCTTGGGTTGAGATGATCTGTGAGTTAGCAAAGCAGCCCCTAAAACAGTGGTTCTCAACTTATGGGTTGCGACCCACACAAGTGCTGTGTATCAGTAACAAAGTAGCAACAAGGTAATTTTATGGTTGGGGGTCACCACAACACGAAGAACTGTGTTAAAAGGTTGTAGCATTAGGGAGGTTGAGAATCATTGGCCTAGGATAAGCACGAGGCTAAAACTGCTTTGTAGGTATAAGTGGCAGGTTATTGGCAATATCATCTCATTTTATCCGGCGCTGCAGGCTGGACTGTGTGACCACTTTCACAAGGGTTAAGCACCTCTTCCTTAAAAAATGAAAACTGCACGTCCACCTTGGAATGCTGACCATTTAATATTGCATATTAACACACATTATCCATTCAAAAGCTCCATTTCCCCTTTTGACTTCTAAAGAAATAAGAACAGTGTTCAGAGCCACTAAACTTTGTGGGGTCCCTGGGCCCTTCACCCTGTGCGTGGGCGGACGCCTGTGCTGGGGAGGGGGAGGAAATAGCCTCGGTTCTACTGAGGCTCCGCACTCTGTGCCCTTCGAGGCTTTACGGTTCCTTTCCGGAGTTAGAGGGGTTAACCCCCACTCTGGCCTTCCACAGGTGGGTATGCCTCCCAGTGCCCAGCTCCAAGTCCAGCGCATGCAGTTAGTAAGGACGCCCCCATTTCAACGGAAAGCTGATTGTTCAGTTGGGGCTTTTGCGTGTGTGTGTGTAAATTAGCCTGGCTATCAGCCTGAAAACTGCACACTTTAATATTTTTAAAGCAGTCGAAATCTCAAAGCTTTCTCCTTTCCATATGGATACCACTGTCTCCACTATCCAGGCGACCGTTTCACTGGTGGGTATACAGACACATTGGCAACGGGCAGACCTCGCTCCCGGGTCCCCCACAACTAATTGCCCTTCAAAAACTGCCAGAAAACATATAAGATCCTCCTTTGAAAGCCACAGGGGCCTGTGTGAGGGAATGATGTCTTATCCCTTTGCCCTTTAGGAGTTAGCAAGGCGAACCGCGGCGCTTGCCCCACTTCCTCCTCAGAGCCAACCACCCACGTCTCAAGCGCCTCGGGAGAATGAGGTAGCTGATTATCCTGAGGTGAGAGGAGAGCGAGTGGGAGGCAGCTTGTCAGGCCAAGGTTCTGACTAGAAGGAGCCAGGCATGAACAGATAACCGAGAACAGCTCTGGCTCACAGATTTAATTGGTTACTTTTAGTAGCACACATGCCTCGTTTAATGAGAATCACTCTTCAGCTGATACGAGTGAAGGTTTGCTGACGGGTAGTTCTTAGCCTTTGCTTGTGTCAAATCCAGTCTCCTGTTTCTACCTTGTAAGCATGGTCCTTCCACCCTCTTCCCTCCCTCCCTCCCTCCCTTCTTCCTGACCTCATCCCCCAGGTTACTGTAGCTCAGGCTGACTCTGACTCACTAGTAGCAGAGGATGACCTTGAACCCTCCACCCCCACTGCTTTCACCTCCCAAGTGCTGAGATTACAGATCTGTACCACCTGGCTGAGTACAGAATCATTTGTGCTTTGAGGAGTGCCTTCCTTCCAGAACTGCCTTTCTATGTGCTTTTCACCTATCTTCCTCATCCACAGGTATTTATTAAGCATGTATTCTATTCATCAACGGATGCCAGACATTATTCATATTTTATAACTTAAAAATTATGATGTTTTCACATCGAGGCAGCCCACAGCCACCCTGATGTTGACTGTTTTTTCCTGCTTGGCATAATGAGCCCCTTCACATTCCTCTCTGCTGACCTCTTAAGGACCATTTGAGGTAGGCCTGTGAACAGGGTCATGGTCTGATACCTAGTATTCTGGTAGGTAGGTAATGTCTTAGCACTAAAGTTTGCAAAATGGCTGATGTGCATGGCTTGAAAGACAATCCCGGGGTTAAAAGGGAAGCTCTTTGCAGAAATACTGTCCTCTCAACACTCTGGAGGCACAGGTAATGATGATGTAGCTGGTCACTCAGATGTGAAGCTGACTCAGACTCCAGGTGAAGAAGAAATTGAACTAATTTCTTCAGATGATGTTTTTCTTTGTGTGAATGTGCAAGAGAAATATGCTAAATGGCTATGGATAAATTTGTTGCTTGAATCAAGTAGAGAAATGTCTAAGAACAAAATATAGTGCCTTCATTTTTATTAAGCATCATGTCATCTTTGCAGGCTGTCTTAGTTAGGGTTTTTATTGCTGTGAAGAGACATTATTAGGACCATTGCAGTTCTTATAAAGGCAGACATTTAATTGTGGTGGCTCACTAAGCGTTCAGAGGTTCAGTCCATTATCTTCATGGCGGGAAGCAAGGCAGCATGCAGGCAGACGTGATGCTGGAGAGGGAGCTGAGAGTTCTTACGTCTTGACTCACAGACAACAGGAAGTGGTCTGAGACAGTGGGTGTGGCTTGAGCATATATGAGACCTCAAAGCTCACCTCCACAGTGACACACTTCCTCCAAAAAGGCCATACCTACTCCAACAAAGCCACACCTCCTAATAGTGCCACCCTCTTTGGGGGCCATTTTCTTTCAAGTCACCACAGAGGCTATCTTTCCCTTTCTCTCTCTCTCTCTCTCTCTCTCTCTCTCTCTCTCTCTCTCTCTCTCTCTCTTTCTCCCTCTCTCTCAAGATTTATTATGTTTTTAAATTTTTTATGTGTATGATTATTTATCTGTTTGTGTGTGCCTGTGCCTAAGGAGACCATAAGAAGGCACTTGGAACTAGAGTTACAGTTATGTGTGAGCAGCCATGTGGATTCTGGGAATGGAATGCAGTCCTTTGTGAGAACAGCACGTGCTTAAACCACTGAACCATCTTTCGAGCTCCTCTCTCCATTTCTCAATGGTCTATAAAATAGCGTCCATTTCATCATGGGACCCAGTGCTAGTCTTGAGTGTCTGCTATCACTGCGTTTGGTTTTGCAATGTATTTCATTAAAGAAATATTTACTGAATGCCTGTGACATTGGCCATGTGGTGCTAGGTGCCGTAAATGGATAGGTGCAGTCTCAAACTTCCAGAGAGGGATAAATATGATGAAGAAAAAAGGTGGAATGCATTATGAATATATTGTAAAACAGTTCAACACTGATGCCCAAGACACAATTCCTGTTCTCAAGACAAAGATAGAGAAAAAAATTTAAAATGGTGGATGAAATGCCATGAACTCTCAGTTCTAGAGGAAATGAGTTACTGTTCCAAAATGCCAATGAGGACCTGCTGACTATCATGTTAGAAATCCACAGAGCAAGTGGGAAGCGGGCGACTCCTACTTGTAAGTAGTTCAAGTGGCAGAGTTAGCTAGTGAGGGGCAGGAGATGGGTCTAGACTGACTCGGGAGATCTTGAGCTCTGTAGTGAGAGCTTGCTCCTTATTTCACACGTAGCGAGGTAATACCCCAGGGCATTAGGCAGGGTTAGGCCAGGTAATATTTGCATGTTAGAAAGATCACTCTTGCTGAAGGTACAGAGTGGATTCATCCTACCTCCTTTTCCTTGCCCTCCAAGCAATGAAACCAATTACATCAATTCAGTTAGAAGAGGAGGAGAAAGTGGAGGAGGAGGAGGAGGAGGAAAAAGAAGATGATGATGATGAAGAAGGGGGGTAATGCTGTTTCTTAATTTCTCCAAGTTAACTGCATATTTATTAAGATCGTGCAAAAACTGTCAAAACTGTTGACTTTGGTAACCTATGGCCCCTGCCCAGTCGTAGTAACTACAATCATTTTTAAATGAAGTCCTGTCAAGTTACTTGACTAAAAAACAGATTAATAAACCTACTGAACCAGAGAACAACAGATCAATAAAATTACCACCCCGATTATATGACGAAGTCAAAAAAATCAAAGCAGTCAGTTGCCCTCCTGAGCTTCTGAGGTGCTGGAGAATTTTCATCTGAGATTTATCAAAGGTTCTGGAGAGTCAAAGAATGGTTCAAATGAAACTCGATTGATTTTGTGTTTCCGCCGGAGATTTCTACAGGTCATAGCCTGTCAGGTAAAAAAGAAATCATATATATATATTTTTTAACCAGAGCTTCCTTTTATAGAGCAGAAGTGAAAGGCCCCACTCAGGGGGGCTGGACTGATAAATGCTGGTCACGTGTCTGTTTAAACAGATGCAAATGAAAGTGCCAAAAGGCTCAAGTTCAAAGAGGGACTCAGCACCTGAGAAATGTCCCTTTATGACATTCCGCTCCTTCGGAAAAGTAGTTGGTTAGAAATGTTTCTTCCCACAGGCTGGCCAGGCAGACGGCTCTGTGCGGTTCTCTCATAGTCCACTGGGCTACCGGCCTTTCTTCTTTAGGCCCATTGGGAGAGAAAGGTTGCTCCTCTGGAAGGTTCCATGTCACCCAGAGTGCCAACATCTTCTCCTTGTGTCATTTCTCACAAGGAAGTCAAATGGGTTTTTTTCTAAACATTTTTATCTTCGGTGCTTTTCTGGATGTGTGGAAGGGTGGGATCGTCCTGCAGGAAACCATTTAAAGAATGTAGATAATACAGATCTGTGTTGAGTCATCCTGTCAGAGAGCAATGTGCAGTGAGCATCCTAGTAAGTTATTTATCATACCCTGAGGCTTCATGGAATACAGCCTCCTTGATGAAGAGATAAAAAGGAAAGACATAAAAGCAAGGTTTAAAAAGAAAAGATTCATTAAAAGTGAATCTACCTTTTGGCTTTAACCTCTTGGAGTTTTAAAAATTATTATTTATTGGTATTACTGAAATTTTTCATCACAGAAATTTACTTTGTAGAATATCTTTCCAGAAGATCAAGAGTTACAAAGAAACAGAAGTGTAGACTGATGGAGAAAACCAGAGGGATCTGGAGGTAAGAAGGGGGAAGGGAAGGAGAGAGGGAGGAGAGAGATGGAGGCAGAGAGTCTGGAGAAATTGACTTTGCTAGAACACAGTCCTGGGAAATGCAGTTAAAGAGACCACTTCCCCAGAAAATAGATACAATCGCGCTGGAAAAGCAGCAGCTTCGCTCTGTTGAAGTCAGTAGGAAGAGCTTGGTCCAGGTGGCCAGAGAGGACTCTTGAATGGTCACAGAGGACTGAACTAGCCCCCAGGACCAATGGAGTCTAAATGGAATAAATCACAGCTCTTCCCTTAAAGTGAAGGCATGGGGTTTTTGGGGGTATCCACCAGAGAAGTTAAGCCAATAGAAAGTCTTTATTAGGCAGCCAGTGACTACATTGGGTGCTCAGGATCCCAGTGTAGCACTGAGCCTTTCTCAGGGTGTGCTTTAAAAACATGTTCTGGGTTGACATACTTCAGTTAATAAGAACAGTTAGCCAGAAGCAGAACTACAGAAGCCAGAAATCAAGGTTAGTACATTCAGAGACTTTCCCAGAACTACGGACTTTGATGGATTAGGTCTTTGTTTTCATTCTTGGCAGATGGTGCTGTCTACATGCTGAGTTTTAATGCTTAAATGGCACTTCCATCATGGAGTCAGTTGTGCTAAGATCTGGGGCTTTGCTACAAGGTAAAGGTTTCTAAAGTGCTTTGCTGTTCTAGAAGGCTGTCTCTTAGGGTCAGTGGGGGGGGGCAAGAAAGAATGAGGAGGAAGGGAGGGGATACTTTATTACATGATGAAATTTAGTTCAAATCCAGGTTGTTTGCCTTCTGTTCCCATTGCTCTCCTAGACAGCACTTTGCTAGTAAACAGCCCTTAGAAAGCATGACTGATTTTCAGGGCAATATTAGGCCTTTTCTAAAGAAAACAATGCAATAAATCAGGTTTTTACTATCTTTTTAAGGACTTATTTAGTTTATGTTATGTATGTGAATATTCAGCTTGCATTTATCTATATGTATCCCATGCATGCCTGGTGCCTGCAGAAACCAGAAGAGGTTGTAGGCTGCCATGTGAGTGCTTGGAACCAAATACGGGCCTTCTTGAATAGCAGTAAAGATTCTTAATTGCTAAAAACAATCTCTCTAGCCCCAAATCAAGGCTTTTAAAGCCACCATTTAACCATTTGAAAGGACTGATATGTGAACTATGTAAGTAACAAGTTGAATTGTTTGTTCATATAAAAAGAAGGAAGGGAGGGGGGAGGGAAGGAGGGAGGGAGGGGGGAGGGAAGGAGGGAGGGAGGGAGGGAGGGAGGAAGGAAGGAAGGAAGGAAGAAAGAAAGAAGAACGGAAGGAAGGAAGAAAAGGGGGAGGGAAGGAGGGAGGGAGAGAGGGAGGGAGGAAGGAAGGAAGGTAGAGAGACTCAAGTCTATAATCCCAACAAATGGAAGGTTAAGGCAGGAGAATTTCCGAGAGTTTTAGTCTAGTCTGAGTGACACTGTGAAACCCTGTCTCAAAACAAACAAAAAGATGAACAAGAAGACTATATTAGACATAAGGCTGAATTCCCTCTTTGCCGATTTTCTTATTGCAATCGTTCCCAGCCTCTCCAGTGAGACTTTATATCTACCAGCTGACCAATAGCAAGCTTTCTCACTTTTTAGGGATGGAATCCAAGGTCCTGTGCAGGATACTAAAACACTTTACAACTGAGCTGAACCCCCAGCCAAGTCCACTGCTTTCTTCTTATTTTATTTTTTTTATATCTACCAATTTTAGTTCTTTTTATTTTTTGATAACTCATTTTATGTACATTGGTGTTTTGCCTACATGAAAGTTTGTGTGAGGGTGTCAGACCCCCTGGAACTGGAGTTACAGACAGTTGTGAGCTGACATGTGGTTGCCGGGAATTGAACCCAGGTCCTCTGGAAGGGCAGCCAGTGCTCTGAACCACTGAGCCATCTCTCCAGGCCCCTGCTTTCTTTACAGTCCCTCTAGGTAGAACAGTACAGCATTGCTTTTCTGTGCTTTTAACTCCAGCACCGATGGTCTGTTTTTTAATTGCTATGACTTTAACGCTTATGTGTGAGTGAGTATATTCCTATTCCTTTGAACTGCATGTAGCATCCTGAGGCAGACAGGTCACAGTGTCTACAGCCATTCTCCTGTGATTTATAATTAGGTGGCTTCCCCTTGGTTGGTTGTTTCATGATACTATAAACAAATACTCCATTTTTATATCGGCCTCCGTGCACCTATATAAGCATTTCTTTCTCTAAGAGATAATTCCTTCTAGCCTTTGGGTCTCCAGGTCACACAAAAGCAGTTTGAATTTAGCTCTAGGCCTAAGATAATCTAGTAAGTTGTTTCAAAGTTGAAGAGCCAGGGAGAATTACGCTTTAATCTTTGAAAAACATCAGTCCATTTCCCAGCTACATAGGATGACTATGACCTCTCTGTTATACATGGAATCCAGAAAATGATGACAGCATTTTAAATAATTCTCTGTTTTGTAGTTTGTATGTTAGATATGCACTTCATGTATAAAATGGAATCATTTTATATTTGAATTTTTTGTATTATATAATTTTTGTATATGAAAATCTATGTAAACCAAGACTTCTAGAATAACACACAGAGACATTCCGTAAGAATATTGTCTTCTCTCTTACTGAGTGCTTAATATGTAAGAGGAGAGGGGAGAAAAAAGAGGTAATGTCCAAATTAAGCAGCCAATCAGCTCCCACAGTCACTTCTGACATGCAGCGTCTACACTGGCAGCTTCAGGATCAATCCACTTGCAAATCTTTTGAGCAGCTGTTTGCAGGCCACCAACTAATGAAGCTCTTTGAGGGCTCCGTTATTAATGGGATGGGGCCCTAGTGGGGGTAAAGGAAGAAAGAGTGGACTGAAGGAGAGAGCTGGAAGAGCAGCCTCCCTTTCCCTCGCCACTTGTGGAAATCCATTTCGGCTCAACTGGGACCAATTGTGAGTCTTGGCCTTGGGCAAAATTCCTATTTGCAGTCAATAAATTAATGGGTGACACCTTGAAAAGCGTTGGCTGACCGAATCAATGTCTGATGTGGCATTCTATCCTCAGGCCAAATTCCCAGTGAGCTTCTTAGGTTGGAGCTGATTGAAGCGATGGAAGGACCCTTGAACTCGGTTTTATTTTAACTCTGTTTTGAAAGGCAATATTCAGGCAGGAGAGAGGCCCCTGCCCTCTGTGTTCCTGTTCTCGCTCCCCTTCTCCTCTAACAGGCCCAGGACTGACTGACGTTAACCGATCTCATTTGGACAGAGCTTGACAATGTATGGAGCTCTTTGTCTGCTGACGGCAGTTTCATATTTCCTCTGAAAAGCTTGTCCAGAAATCCAGGGGTGACTCTTTCCACACAGTAGCTAGCTCCTCTTCAAACCTCTGGACAGCAGGAAGCCGAGAGGGGCGCTCTGTTGGTTCAGCTGGGTTTTACAGCTGAAGATAACATGGACCGCAAATCTACCAGGGCTCAGGTTTTCTCGGAGGGGGGAGGAAAATTCAGGGAGCAAAATCAAGAGAAGTCGAGGTCTAATGTTTCATAACTGTGTGCTCTTTTCCAGGTTTTATTCCTGTAATAGTCTCTGTGTGTGGCCAGGGCCCTTTGCAACACAGAGCTATTGAAGAAAAGGGAGAGGAAGGAGGGGAAGGGAGGGAGGGTGGAGGAATGGATAAAAAAAAAAAATGAGCCTATGGGGTACGGTAGGAGTGAGAGAACTGCTTTCAAGTCCTGACCGTGACCTTAACTGGATGTAGCCAAGGCCTCTGGGGGAATTAAGCTGGCCATTTGATTTTGAAAATAGAATAGGGGACCAGTACGCACAGAGAATTTATAGCGAAGCCAGAAGAGGGAAGTGACCCACTTAGTGTCTCCTCTGGAAAAAGTGGGTTCTTGAGGCAACAGAAGGGGGTTGGGTGGGGAGCTCCCCTTTCCCTGACAGTGTGCACCGGGGTGGGGGTGGGGCTGCTAGGGGAGCAAATCTGATGGGAAAGGTAGTAGATAGCATTACAGCATTATCTTTGTATGTGTTTTGGAGGATTAAAAAATAGAAGGAAATTTTCATTTTGATTTCGGGGCGCAGGGGGGGGGGCGTTTGTGTATCCACATTATATATGCAGCCCTGTTCCCACCGCAGACTGAACTTGCTGCTGGAGAGAAGACTACTTTGTTTTCGGGTCGTCCAAGCAATTTCCTGCCTTGGAGCAAGACTCAGTGCAGCTACTGAGCCCTGACACTATCCCCAGGCCTCTGAGCAGCCTGATTTTAATGAAGGAGCACCACTCTTTGTGAAGGAGCACCACTCTTTGTGAAGGAGCATCGCTCTTTGAAGGACTCAGAAAAACACAAATGGCCAAATCTTACCTCTTTCTTCCCGAATACACCTTTCTCTCCAGTGAGAGGCCACAGCTGAGGGATCTGAATGGAACTACAGTAGATGACCGTCATCTTGATCTCTGGGAAGCCAGACATCATCCCAACAGCACATAGTAATGATGACATGTTGTAGCCCTGGGAAGAGGCCATTAGAATGGGGCCAGCTATCGGTTCTGGGTTAGGTTAGGGATGCCAAGACAGAGCATGTGCTGGCCAGGGCAGGGAAAGGGAGGAGAGGAGGACTTCGGGTGGAAGGGAGGGATCCACAGTGGCATTTGACAGTGCTCCTTCACTAATAGGTATTTCTTAGGCGCGCAGTGCTGGAGCTGAGGAGATCTTGGATGTTATGAAATACAGTCCCTTTGGGTGGCGGCGGCGCACACCTTTAATCCCAGCACTCAGGAGGCAGAGGCAGGCGGATTTCTGTGAGTTTGAGGCCAGCCTGGTCTCCAAAGCGAGTTCCAAGAAAGGCGCAAAGCTACACAGAGAAACCCTGTCTCGAAAAACCAAACCCCCCCCCCCAAAAAAAAAGAAATACAGTCCCTTCATTTTACTAGTTGCCTAGGGTGAAGGGCATATTCAAGCTGAGTTCTGGGCTCTTGCTCTCCAGGTGGGTGTCTTCCTTTGCTCTAAGTTGGGCACTTTGCCAAGCAGCTTAAAAATCCTTGGTCTGTGTCTGAATGTAACTTCAGTTCAAATGATTGTTTTCCAGAGTAAGGATTTCAGAAAACGAGTTAGCGCTGAGGTGACCCGAGCCGACACTCTCTCCCAAGGCTATCTCTCCCCTGAGCCCTTCAGAGCTTGGAGATGGACTAAATGGCCCCAGGGACTGGGGCAGCTTCACCAGCATTGGGAGCTGGTGGCACTGGGGCTGGGGGTGTGGAATGTGGCAGCGTTTGTCTAGCATGCACGAAGGCTTGGGGATGCAGGCCTGGACTCAGCACTCTGGAGGGGAAGGCAGGAGGACCGAAGTTCAAGGTCATACTCAGTGACACAGAGAGTCTGAGACCAGGTGCTACCAACACTGTGCCTCAAAGGATGTAAGAAAGGAAAACTCAACTATCAGACCAAGTCTAGTGGCTGCGCTAGCAACCTTTCTAAAGTCCCGAGCGGAGCCTTTTGTGACGCCAGGGCCGGGAAACCCCTTGTCTCACAAGTTCAAATGGGCGTGTTGGTTTCTGAGATGCTGTCCCGTTAACTCGGAGAGAACACATTTGTGTTTCTGTCATGTGCGTCGGGCTAGGAACATACTCCAGGATCTGACTTTCTGTGTTAAGTGGCATTCAGTGTTAAGTATTTTTACGGAATCTGTTTCCATGCACTCAGTCCACAAAGCTGGAAATGGTCTAAGTTAAAAAGGTTTCACTACTCCTAACCTAGGGAGCATGGTGGGGGGATGGTAGATGTTTCCCGAGTGGCCTTAGCCGTCTTCTCAATCCCACTTCCCAGTCCCACTTCCCAATCCCAAGACAACATCCTGCTACTTATCGCCAGCCGGGAAAAGCTCGACGTTCAACATGCAAAGTAGTGTCCTCCGTGCTCCACCCTCTAGTCAAAAACTTCCGTTTAGAGAACAGAGGGGAGGGAAAAATTTTTAAGAAAAAAAAAAAAAAACTCCTATGAACATCAAGACTGAGAATATAAGCTCTCTTTTATCTTTTAAAAGATTGTTCAGAATTCTTTCTTTTAAATTTATGTGTGTGAGTATTTTTCTGGTGTGCGTGTCTACGTGCTACCCATATGCCTAGTGCACTCAGAAGCCAGAAAAGGACA